AATATAATATATATATATATATATATATATATATATTATAAATTTTAAAAATATAAATATTATAATTTTGATAATACTATAATCATATTTTGTAAAATATATATTTAAAAATATTACTTGTTATTTTATCGTAAACGATAAAATTTATGTTATTTTTCACCCGTATTCATTCTATTTATATTATTATTCGTATTGTTTTTTTTTTTTTTTTTTTTTTTTATGAGGAAACAGATAAGAAAAATAATAAAAAAAATAAAACAAACGAAATCATAAAACGATACATGCATTAAATTCCGTTGTAACTTGAAATTAAAATGACACGATTTTTAGGGTTAACTATCAATAACATCGAAATGAAACTTTAATTTTGAACTAACAACATTTGACATTTAATATTTAATATTTAATAAATTGTTAACAATTCCATGGAAAGAAAAAATCCTGTAATAATAAATCTATGACGATGTATGTATATGTTTATAACAAAAAAAAGTGAAACAAAGTAAATGTACATAACCTCGTTAATTGCACACACGTATACTAATTTATTCATACTTATTGAAATTACAGGTAATTATAGTTAATTGAAAAATTATGCTTATTAATGATAAATATTAATTATTATTGATTATATGAATATGTCATACATATTTCAAAATTGTTTATTTACTTACTTTTCACATAATTAATGTTTTTTTTTTCTTTCTAGTAGAATTGAAAAGAAAAAAAATGTAATAAGAAAAAGAGATAAAAGAGTAGAAGAAGAAGTAGAAGAAGAAGAAGAAAAAAAGGAAAATAATAAAAATATAAAATAAAAAAAAATAAAAAACGAAGAAATAAATGAATATAATTTTCTTTGACTATTTCATAATATAATTGTCATAATCGATCAACTGAGAGACGTATAAATGTACAAATGTCCTTCGTACAAAATTATACAATAATACTTAGGTTATTATCTTCCTATAGATTTCATAATTGCATATAATATATCCTACGTAAAATAATAATCCCATTTATTATCTCTCTCTCTCTCTCTCTTTCTCTCTTTCTCTCTCTCTCTTTCTGATCAAGGACTAATATCATCATCATTGGAAAAATTAATCAATCAAGTATATTATTAATTATATTACATTAATTTTTTTTTTTTTTTTTTTATAATGAACATTAATCTTGATTCTGATCCAATGGTAGTAACAGTGTACGCATTATTTTTTTATTTATCTTTCATCTTCATCTATTTTTTATTAATCAAAATGTTGATACTGTATCACATGGAAAATGATACTTGAAATGATTTATTTCAAAGATTTATAATACAACATATTATATACATAAATAAATAAACAAAATTTAATAAAGAAATTACTAAAAGGAAAGATATCATAAAACAAAAAAATATTAATTTGAGAACAAATTAAAAAAAAAAAAAAAATGGAAGATTTATATTTTAATACAAATAATTTACAAATACATACACACTGTGACAAAATTATCCTTTAAAAAAAAAAAAAGAAAGAAAAGAAATACGAAGTAAAACATTAACGAAATATTACAAATTCAGATTAATTTGGCACGAAAAGAAAAAGTGTGATAAAATAGAGAGAGAGAGAAAAAAAAAATAAAAAGGTGTAAAACAATACGGAAAAGATAAAAAAAATTCGTGACCATAACTAAGTTTAAACTGATAACGACTATGAACTGGTATAAATAGTCGAGCGTAACGTTGTTTTACAAGAGTTAAGAAGTAAACCNTACGAAGTAAAACATTAACGAAATATTACAAATTCAGATTAATTTGGCACGAAAAGAAAAAGTGTGATAAAATAGAGAGAGAGAGAAAAAAAAAAAAAAAAGAAAAAAATGAAATTTATTCGTGACCATAACTAAGTTTAAACTGATAACGACTATGAACTGGTATAAATAGTCGAGCGTAACGTTGTTTTACAAGAGTTAAGAAGTAAACCTTCGTTAGAATACACCAATCCGATTAAATCTGAATCACACGATGAAAATTAGTTGCTTAATTTGTCTCGTAATTGTTCTTACGATCATTCATTTGTCTCAAGCTAATGATTATTGTAAAATAAAGTGTTCATCGGGTGTTCATACGGTCTGCCAATATGGAGAAGTAAGAAATCCTATTTACATTTAATTATAATAAGTGTACAATTATTCTCCCGCCATTTTTGTTTTTTTTTTTTGGTTTCTATAAGCCATCTGTAGGAAAATTGGGAAAGTAAAAGTTGTACACTTAATACTGTAATACGTTATTTTGTTCTTTTTTTTCTAATTTTTCTTTTCTTACATTAGTCACGTATCTTCTTGTTGTTTTTTTTGTTTATCTGCATAATCATAAATTACTTTTTAAAATGTACATCAATTTGATTAAATCTGAATCACATGATGACAATTAATTGGTTAATTTGTCTCGTAATTATTCTTACGATCATTCATTTGTCTCAATCTAATGATTATTGTAAAATAAAGTGTTCATCGGGTGTTCATACGATTTGCCAATATGAAGAAGTAAGAAATGTTATTAAAATTTTAATTATAATAAGTGTACAATTATATTCCCGCCATTGTTTGTTTTTTTGGCTTCTATAAGCCATCTGTAGGAAAATTGGGAAAGTAAAAGTTGTACACTTAATATTACTGTAATACGTTATCGCGAATGATTTTTTGTTTGGTTTTTCTAATTTTTATTTTCTTACATTAGTCACGTAGCTTCTTTTTTTTTTGTTTATCTGCATAATCATAAATTACTTTTTAAAATGTACACACACGGTATATGAGAATTTATTTTGATCGTTTGAAAAATGAATGAACAGAAAGAAAGGAAATCATTTTCTGTTTTTTTTTTTATATCTTTCGTTTAATATGCAAATTCACGTACGAATATTTACATGGTAAAAATTTGACAGTATTGATAGTATGCAAAAATAATTTCGTTAACTGTCAACGAATTGTTCTTTTTTTTTTTTTTTGTTTATATTCTTTAATTATAGCAAACAATGAGATAAGAAATATACTTTTTAAATTACATAATTTCGTTTTTGTAGAAAACTATTATTTTTTTTTTTTTTTTGTAAATATTTACAAGCTCGAATGATCATTTCAATGAGTCATTGTAATGAAGAATAATTGATCATAAAATATACTGCACTTACTCATCCAATTTTTTTTTTTTTTCAATTTTTTTCTTTCTCTCTGTCTCTGTTTTTTTTTTGTCTTATATTAAGAATTTATAAATTTTCACAAGATAGTAGTAATAATTATACAAATAATTATATATATGTAATTATAGTCAACAAAACCAAGTAAAAATTGTGCCGGTAAATTAATCAAATCGGTTGGTCCAACGGAAGAAGAGAAGAAATTAATTGTAGAGGAGCATAATCGATTTAGGCAAAAAGTTGCAAAGGGTTTGGAAACGAGAGGTAATCCTGGACCACAACCAGCTGCTTCGAACATGAATAATTTGGTAAATTTAAAAAAATAATAAAAAATAATCCGATAATTTCATTAATTAAATAAAGTATTTATTAAATATGAAAATTATTATAAAAAAAAAAATAAAATAAAATAAAAATCAATTTTAATAATGAAGGTATGGAACGATGAATTAGCAAAGATCGCACAAGTATGGGCCAGTCAATGTCAAATTCTTGTTCACGACAAATGTAGAAATACAGGTAAACAAATTATATTATATTTGTGTGATAAAAAATATGCTATGATAATATTTAAAAAAAAAAAAAAAAAGGAAAGAATAAACATACAAATAAGGAAGAAGTATTAATAATTATATATAATATTAATAATAAAATATTATTAATTTATTATTAAATATTATTATAAAAATATATATTATTAATATTTATAATTATATTAATAATATGATGATATTATTAATTATATAATATTATAATTACTAATATTAAATAATTAATATATTATAATATTATTAATTATATAATATTATAATTAATAATATAATATTAATAATATATATATATTTTCATAATATTTAATAATAAATGAATTATATTTCATTATTAATATTATAATATTATTAATTATATAATATTATAATTATTAATATTTTTTTTTCCTTATTTTTATGTTATTAATATATAAATAACATATTATATATTATTAATATATAATTAAATTAATTAAATATATCATATAATATAATTATTAATAATATATATGTATATATAATTTTTATTTTAATTTTTATTTTAATAATAAAATAATATTATTAACAATATAATTTTAGAAAAATATCAAGTTGGACAAAACATAGCGTATGCAGGTTCTTCTAATCATTTCCCAAGTGTAACCAAATTAATTCAACTTTGGGAAAACGAAGTGAAAGATTTTAATTACAATACAGGAATAACAAATAAGTAAGTCAAACTAAACATTTCATAGTTTTATATTTATTTTTGTTTTTGTATATAATATATTTATTACTATTATTATTATAAAATGAATATTTTTTAGAAACTTTGGTAAAGTTGGTCATTATACTCAAATGGTTTGGGGTAATACTAAGGAAGTTGGTTGTGGTTCTTTAAAATATGTTGAAAAGAATATGCAAATTCATTATCTCATTTGTAATTATGGACCAGCTGGAAATTACTTGGGTCAACCAATTTATACAAAGAAATAATTTGACAAATAATACTACGAAACATATTTTCTTATTCAAATAACACGAAAATATAATATATATATATATATATATATATATATGTATACATTGTTATTTATAATGAAATTTCTTTAAAAAAGAAAATAATAATTTCACATTAAATTAATCATTTAAATTATTATTTATATTTAATCTAAACAATTGTATTATTCCCAAATAATAATTAAAAGAAACATAAATAAATTTTCATGAAATTTTCCAAAATCTCGTCTTATTATTAACAAAAATGTGTCTTCTCGAATTGAAAACATAATTTACAAGATATTATTATTAAAAAAAAAAAATACTAAGAATTTATGATCAATTAGAATTAATCATTTAGTATCGTTATTATCTCATATACTCGACAATTGTACAATTTCATGGAAAAAAAAAATAAAAACCCAATCGTAAGTAAATATAATTGATTTTTCCTAACACACACTCAAACACACACACACACACACACACACTGAACAAAAAAAAAAGAAATTATTTATACACAAACTACAAATAATATTTTTAGCAAATTTGTCGATAAAACTATGATGCAATCTATTTACAAAAAAAAAAAAAATAAAAATACCAACGAATGATTAATTATACCGAACAACAAAGTATTCATTTATTTGACACAATAGCTAAAAGTTATAAATAACTTTTTGCAAACACAAATATTTGTATCTTTTCAAACAATATCATACTTCCTGTCTTACCTCACGTAAATGCATAATAATGCACTTCCTTTGTCCTCAAAAACTAAATAAAATCTACATTGATAATAATTCATCGTCTTCTTTATATTATTGTCAATCGAAACATCAAAATATTAGAAATTTAGATCACGAATCAAAATGCTTCAACAGAAATACTCAAACTACCTATACTTTCTTAATAATAAAAGAAAATAAAAGAAAGTTTCCATTTAGAAAATATTTCAACGCCTTATATATATATTTACTAGTTTTCTATCATCCAATCGTTTGGATGGATTCTTTAAACTTGAATACAAAATAAGAAAAAGAAAAAAAAATATATGAAGAATTTAGATCGTAAACGATTGATAGAAGAAAAATCGTTGTTGAATGTAAGAATGCAGGATATTGCACCCTCCAATGCAATAGCAACCCCCACAACGGGTGGGCCCTGTATATCGAAATGTTTCCCTAACTTATTGTGTACACCTTTCCGACATATTATTCGATTACTGAACGACGTTTTCACGGCTGTCCTTTTTTCGGCCAAGTTTAAAAATCGTTTAGCATTCTAATAGAGGAAGCAAACAAGAAAGCAAGCAAAACTTCTTCCTCTTCCTCTTCCTCTTCCTCTTCTTCTTCTTCTTCTTCTTCTTCTAGTGAAATTCAACTTCTCGCGAATGAGAATGTATCTTCTTTCCATTTGTATTTTTTCCTTATTTCAAAAGTAACATGTCAAACGCCCTGGAGTGCACACCAGGATATTTTTCGTATAAAAGGAAGAGAGAAAGACACATAAAATCAGAAAGTCAACTCACTATGGGTGTCACACACCTGAAAATCACACACACTCATCACGTATAATATTCAAGAAGAATTGTGCTAAATTTTATAAGAATGTTCTTACGTTACTTTGACACCATTATTTACATTCCTATTTACAACGTTTAACTAAATAATTTTCAGTAAAATCATTCTAAATATCTAAACACAATAACTAAGAACAGCTTTCAAATTGGATTCCCCGGAGTTTGCAGGAAATGTGACGTGTCAGACTCGTTATACATGTAAACCTTTACAATATTGTCATTTATTTCTAACAAATTGCATATTATGTGCGATTGCAATGAATTTCAAAGATAAAATTGTGAAATCAAAAATAAATAGTGGCCTAGTCCTACCTGGGCTAACTTTGTTGTTGTTTGATGAGAAGTGTATGCAAAAAAGAAAAGAGAAACAAAAACTTGAAAAAATTAGAAACACGTAATGACCCCCATAAAGTGGATCAGTGTAATCTTGGGTATATTTAAGTGATCGTTTAGCTTCACAGTGGATAAGCTTGAACTTACCCTAACAGAATAGAGATGAACAGATGGATCAATGTAAACTGGAAAAGGATAGGACATAAAAGAAAGAAAGAGAGAAAGAGAGAGAGGAAAGTATTAATACAAAAAGAGTCAGAGTAACCGACAAAGAAAGATAGAGTGAGAAGAGGGAAAGGTTTCTCTCTGTCTTTCTCTCTACCCCTAATGTAAGAGAAGTAAGAAAGTCAGGAGGGTTCGCTGTCATATTTCTGCAGATCGGTAGGGGGGTGTCAACGAGCTTGAACGAATGTCCCAGCAGGGATGCCATTCTATATATACGATGCTCCTAAACTTTTGGCTACTGTCCTTGTAACCTACCAAGTGTGAGAATCCTAACGCGTTTTAGTTTCTAATACAACCACGCGACTCTTGGATGTCTTCTTCTTTTTTTTTTTTTTTTTTTCTTAAAGGTAGCACACGCCAATCTGATTTTATCTGGTTATTCTTATTTTGTACTTCTTTAATCTAATGTATTTATTATTTTTAATTAATA